ATGTTCTTTGTGAGTAACACATAACAGGAGCTGATAATCCATGCCTAAAGTACAGTGTGAGAGAAAAATAACACAAAAAAATGACTACCCAAAAGTTTGACAAAAACTGGTGGTAGAATTAGTTCATGGAAATTGTTAAAATACCACCATTTGAAATACCCTAGGATGTCTACTATTCAAAAATATATGGTTTGATGGGGGTAAATTACATTGGCCGGCTTAAAAAATGTCCCAAATAGGACATGGGTGCATGATGACCAGCTGTGAAAATTCTAAACTGGAAAACTGGAATGTGCACCCTCCAAATAAGGTCTTTTAGCCCCCAGAGATCCAAACACACCTATACATGGGGGTTATCACTGTACTCAGGAGATGTTGCTGAACACATATTGGGGTGTTCTTTGGCAGTAACCCTTAAAGTTCTCCATACATGTATTCTTAAATTTCTATGTGTGTCAAACAAAATCACCAATTTAAAAAAAATTGCATGAAAAGAGTCAAAATACCCCAACTTTAATACCTTAGGTTGTCTTCTTTTAAAAAATATATACATGTGAAGGGTTATTCAGGGATTCCTGACAGATATCAGTGTTACAGTGTAACTAGCATTATTTTTTGGGGGGGAAAATATGGTTTGGAAATAGCAAAGTGCTACTTGTACTTATAGCCCTAAAACTTTCCAAAAAAAAAAAAAGAAAAAGCTAAGAACATGTTATATTGGACATTTGTAAACTCAGGACAAAATTTAGAAACTATTTTGCACTGGTGTTAGGCAGTTGTAAATGCCGGTGTCAAAGTTAGAAATTTTTAAATTTTTTTGTTTTGTTTTTTCGTCATATTTTATTTATAGTAAATTATGATATGAAAATAATGGTATCTTTTAGAAAGACCTTTTAATGGCGAGAAAAACGGTATATAATATGTGTTGGTACAGTAAATGAGTAAAAGGAAAATTACAGCTAAACACAAACACCTCAGAAATGTAAAAAGAGCCCTGGTCCTTAACGGTAAGAACATTGAAAAATGGTTTCGTCACTAAGGGGTTAAAGGAAGCCTAACTCTATTCAGTTCTAACTGCAATTAAAGTAAATTAATAACGTAACCTAAAAAAATACAGATTGTTAAAACGTGCCAATAACAATGACACATTGGGATTCCATAGACATTCATATGCATCTTGAACCCCACACGTTGGGGTTCTATAGACATTCATATCCATCTAGGGTCTAGATATTGAGTGGGTCTGTATATATCCTAATAAAGCACAAGACCAATAGTCTAGATTCTAGAGTCTAGAATTTTAGACTATTGTTCTGGTGCTTTATTATGACATATGCAGACCCCCTCAATAATACACACTTCACCATTATCCATTACATTTCCCCCCTAATATTTGAAATATATGAATATTCATATTTCATAATTGTGCGATAAGAAGTTTGCAGTACATATGCTTTTAAAAAGAATTGCTTTCTTTTTGGAGAAATAACGGTACCTCTGTTCTCCAGTTGATCCTTTGTGCCCTGAATAGGTTAAACGGCTTTAATGTAATTGAAATGGCCTGGAAAGTATTTTAACTGAGACATAACAACTGTACCACAAGACAAAAAAGACAGGCTGCTTCAGCCTCTTTTTATCAGCACACTGCCAATCGCTGTCTAACATTTCTAGTAGGCTAAGCAAAAAAGAAACTTGTGGTTTAGTAAGATTTACTGGTATTTAAAAACTCTGTATATTAACTGCAACAAAGGAGAAAAATATGTTCTGCAGTAGTTTTTGGGTTTTGTTTTTTTGGAAGAGGCAGTAAAGAAACTTCTCCTTCCTCCCCCCAGAATAATAACTCACAGCGGTTTTCCTCTAGTTGGTGTTTGCATTTTTTTAAATGCATGCTGTCAGATTTTAGCTGATTAATAAATATTAGGATTACCCAACTGAATGATACTCTGTATCATTGGCACTAAAATCAAGCCTGCCTGCCTCCATGAGGTTTGAACAGATACAGGTCAGACCATTTAGAAACTAAGTTAGCAGGCTATTACTTTGGAGATTTTAAAAGCCAGGTACATTTGGATATATTATATTCCTGATAATCTCTTCATCTCACCCATTTATTTTGTTAATTGATTTCAAAATCAGCTACGTCCTTCTGTAATGTGCTGTCTGATACGTGTGTAATGTATTACACATGCACAACCAACACGGTTCATAATATACACAAACAGAAGGTAAATAAGGCGCTAATTTGAAAAAATATATAAAGTGGTGCAGCTTTTCCCACCTCAGTGTAAAGTCACTTAAAGCGGCACTGTCATGCCGAATCCTGTTTTTTTTCTTTAACCCCCCCTCCCGCCTCCACTACATCCAATTGACCCACTAGTCACCCCCAAATGCCCCTAAGCCCCCCACATTACCTATTTTTTAATCCTTATTTTCTGCCCCGATCTTTATTCAGGGCGCCGCCATCTTTGTGTGGGTAGGTGAAGTCCCTGTGGGACACGTCATCAGCCCACACTAGACAGACTGTTAGATTCCCGCAAATGCCCAGTGAAACACCTGGACATGCGAACGGGAATTTCATCTATTCACTCATTCATCAGACAGACTAATGAATGAATAGAAAGATCAGCCGAACAAACAAACACTATGTATCAGTGTATCTGAGTATCAGTGTATGTTTGTTCGTGCAGGTTATTACAAGGAGGGAGCTACCGGCGTGCAGCTCCCTCCTTGTAATATGTAACTATAGAAGCGGCAGGGAGCAGTGCTCCCCACCACTTCATAAGCCCCCCCAGGTCCCCCTCTCACTCTATGGAGGTCAATATGACCCCCATAATAGCACAAGGGAGATTAAAATCTCCCAAATGCCCCTACTCGCTATACCGCGAGTAGGGGCATGTCTACTAAACAGTGAGCAGCTTGTGGCTGCTCACTGTTGAAAAAAAATTACATAAATTACAATAAGGGGGGGCGGACCTATGGTCCTCCCCACCCTGAGCGGCGGGTGGGGGCCATGAAGATAATGAGGGGGGGGGGACCTACTGTCCTCCCTCCCCCCCCCGGCCCCGGGGCCCCAGTAAAACTAATAAGGGGGGACCTACTGTCCTCCCCTGGCCCCCACCCTCTTGTGGTGGGTGGGGGCCCCGCGAACCTACCCCCTAATAACAACAATGGGGGGACCATGGGTGGGGGGCTAAGGGGGCGACCTACTGTCCTCCCCGGCCCACCTCCCTGGGTGGTCCCTAATAAACAAGGGGGGACCTACTGTCCTCCCCCTTTGCCCCACCCCTGAGCGAACATGGGGCAGAACATGGATTAATTTTTTTTTTCATTTTTTTTTTTTTTAAAAGTGCGACGGGTATAATGGATTTTTATTTGGCCTTTTTGGGGGCTGAAGAAAGAAGATTTTAGAAAAAAGAAGACGTCAAATGGTAAGTTTAATTTTTTTTTTACAGGTTAGTTATTTTATTCCCCCCTCACTATTTTTAGGGTGAGGGGGGTAGGTAGGGAGGTTTTTTTGGGTGGGGGTGACTAGGGGCTTGGGACCCCTAGTCACCTTGATTGGGGGGGGTGTTTCATTTAGGGCCCCCACCCACCGCTCAGGGGTGGGGGCCAGGGGGGGGAGGACAGTAGGTCCCCCCCCTTATTGTTTTATTAGGGCCCCCACCCACCGCAGGGGTGGGGGCCAGGAGGGGGGGACAGAAGTTCCCCCGCCCATATCTTTATTTAGGGCCCCCACCCACCGCTCAGGGGTGGGGGCCAGGGGGGGCCAGTAGGTCCCCCCCATCTTTATTTAGGGCCCCCACGGGCATGGGGGGGGGGTTTATTAGTTTTTTGCTTTTTTTTTTTTTACAGTGAGCAGCTATAAGCTGCTCACTGCTTACTACACATGCCCCTACTCGCGGTATAGCGAGAAGGGGCATTTAATTTACTAATACTAAGTAATCTTTACTCAGTATTAGTAAATGTTGCTGAAAGACCAATTTAGGTCTTTCAGCCTTTTAGTAGATAACTCCCTGATACCGTGGGAATTAGGGAGTTATCTACTAAGCGGCTGCAAGATGCAGCCACAGCAAGAATAGGATCAGAGTTTCATTCATTAGAATGAAATTCCGATCCGAATAAAATGCCGAATTGCGTTCTAAAACAAACGAACATACTGTTGTCATTCAGTTAGAACGCAATTCGGCAGTTTTGTGTAAAGTGACAGGAAGCATTCTGGGAACACAGAGGAAAGGTAAGGATCATGGGAAAATTGCTCTGACCAGCGGAAATGAAGCACACTTTGCTCCTCCGCTGGTCAGAGCTGGTCAAGCGGAGGAATCCTCCATAAGGCAAAGAGTCCCTACTTTGTCTTATGATTTTAAAGAAAACTAAAGAAGACAGGAAGAAAAGAAGAACAGATCCTGAGAGAGGGGGAGAAGAGGAAGAGATTGAGGAAAGGTAAGTTCGGCATGACAGTGCCGCTTTAATACACTGCAAAATAGAAACCACAGACAAAGAAAGGTGTATAAAATGTATTTTATAAAAAATGGTAAACAATTTATATTCATAATAAAATAATCAAATGCAAATTTATATTCCATACAGAAACAACATATACTAGACTTAATTTCAAGGAAAATAACCTTCTTTTAAGGATGGAACTACTTAAAAGGGATAGAATAAGTAGTAAAACACATAATCTTTTTCTAGAAAATTCAGAAAGGTGTATAAAAAAATTGTGAAAACTAATTATAAAAAAAATTACATATAAAAACTAATTATATGAAAAGGTAAAATATGGACTTTTAAAAAAACATCTAAATTATAAAATGGAATTAATCTCAAAATCTATATTCAACCCTCTTGGTGTTAAGGTGCGTAGTTCAAAAATCCATTTTGTTTCTTGTAGGCTGAATTTTTTATCAACACCACCTCCAATGCATGGTAACTAGTGATGTCCCGAACGGTTCGCCGCGGACTCATCATTGAGTAAACTTTGACCCTGTACCTCACAGTCAGCAGACACATTCCAGCCAATCAGCAGCAGACCCTCCCTCCCAGACCCTCCCACCTCCTGGACAGCATCCATTTTACATTCATTGTGAAGCTGCATTCTTAGTGAACTGTCCAGGAGGTGGGAGGGTCTGGGAGGGAGGGTCTGCTGCTGATTGGCTGGAATGTGTCTGCTGACTGTGAGGTACAGGGTCAAACTTTACTCAATGATGAGTTCGTGGCGAACCGTTCGGCGAACTGTTCGGGACATCACTAATGGTAACTTTTTCGATTGCGCAAAATTCCATTTTATTTGGATTAGAGTTATGTTTTTCTAAAAAGTGTTTTGACACATTATGATTGATAAAACCTCTCCTTATATTTCGTATGTGTTCACTAATTCTTATACTAAGTGCCCTGGTCGTCTTGCCCACATTCACATGATAATAAATAAATTACTCCTTTAGATTGACATGTAATGGGACATTTAATGTTATAAGATTTCTCAGTAACTTTAGATACAACACTTTTTACATTCTCATTATTAAGATTGGAATTCTTACATGCATTGCATGTTCCACAATGATAAAAGCCTTTCTGGATTTCTGCCGAGCTACTTAAAAAGTTTTTTGGTCTCTCTTTTTCAATAAAACTTCTGGTTAAAATTTGTTTAAAATTTTTTGCCCCCCTAAAAATAAATCTGGATTTTGGTCCTATATATTTTGAAACCTCATGATCTTCTCTTAGAAGGTGCCAATTTTTATTAATTATTCCTTTAACGGAGTTAATATTACTTGCATAATTAAAAATAAGGGGAATTTATTTTTCTTCTTTCGGGACCCCTTTTTCTTTGTACTTTAGCAGTTGGGCTCTGTCTGATTCTAAAATACAATTAATTTCTTGTTGCAAAATATCCTCAGAGTATCCCTTTTGCTGAAACTGTTCTTTCAAAATACTAGCTTGAGTTTTAAACACTGACTGTTCAGAGCAATTTCTACAGAGTCTTAAAAATTGCCCCTTGGGTATATTTTTTTAGCCAGGGATAATGGTATCTATTTCAATGAAGCTGTTAACATCCACTTGTTTGAAATAATTACGAGTATTAACCACATTATTAGAAATGTAAATCTCCAAGTCTAAAAAGCTGATGTTTGTTTGGCTAATATCCTGACTTAACTTTATATCCCATATATTGGAATTTAAAAATAGAAAGAATTGTTGAAACTGCTGAATGGATCCTCTCCAGACCAGGAAGATATCATCTATATATCTTCTATAGAGGACCACCGAATTCGTGGCCATTATAAACAAATTATTTTTCCCAAAGTGCCATGAATAAATTCGCGTAATTCCCCAAAGCAGTACCCCTGATCTGGAGATAGAAATTACCCTCGAACCAAACATAATTGTTTAAAATCATCTTAATCCCCCTCTAAAATAAAACTAATTTGTGCTTCTTGGAATTGTTTAGATTCTGTTAAAAAATATTTCATAGTCTCGCATCCTTTTATTGTGATCAATTATTGTATATAAGCCTGTGACATCACAGGTTATTAAATAAAAATCCTCTTCCCATTAGATTATGTGTTTTACTATTTACTCTATCCCTTTTAAGTAGTTCCCTCCTTAAAAGAAGGTTATTTTCCTTGAAATGAAGTCTAGTATATGTTGTTTCTGTATGGAATATAAATTAGCATTTGATTATTTTATTATTTTATTGTGAATATAAATAGTTTACCATTTTTTATAATATACACTTTATTTCTTCTTTTATACACACTTTTGAGAGAAATGCCTTAGTCCAAAACGGAGATGTGTAATGTAGAATGAACTCTCCGTGCGGAACAAATGTACACTCCCCCTGGGACTTTCTGCTCATATGGGAATGCTAGAGTATGGGAAGAATCTCCTACTCCAGTAAGGAGTATGGCTGACCTACAAGCGGAAGGACGTCATCAAGTCAGCACGCAATCACGCCCAAAAAACGGAAGTAGATGTCATCTGGAGAGGACGTAATAGGGACAATTATAACCCGGAAGAACTGTATATGGGGATATTTGTAATATGCCGAAAACCGGACGCATCGCCATCTTGGTGGTGGCGGCGTGCTTCCGGTTATGGCCATATTTGGGCATATAATTACCTTAATTGGGCCAATACACCTGTAACCTTTTATCTATTAGGGGGTATATATAGGTGTACTGGCCTAGGGGAAAGACATGCTGCAACCGAGGAAGACCATAATTTGGGTCGAAATGTGTTGTGCTATTTGAAGATTTGTATTTTATTTTATTTTGTTTTTGTATATATTTATGTGAATAAAATTCCCACTTTTGAATAATTCATTGGATCTCTGGGTTCCTGTGAAACTGAAAATCTGAGGACCTTCAAGGAGGAAAGATCCAGTATATCCCATTAAGTGGATGAAATGCTTCTAAAGTCCAGAGCCTAACTCTGGAAATTGTGAGTGTACCTTTTTCCCTTTACTACAGTATATATGTGTTTAAGCAGTATACACTATGCTGTGTTTTCTATTCTTATATATAGGGTCCAGTTAAAGATTTATAACTGTCAATAGGACCAAGACATTTGCATGTAAAAAATATTACTGTGTTTGTGCGCTATCACCTTTCTTTGTCACAGGGTTCATAATGCTCAGCTCAAAAATCTGATTATTTTTTTTTATTATTTTTTTTCTGACTGACGGGTTTATAAAACATACAAGAGATAAGTTATAATTTGTGACTGACCTAACGCCGTACAATATTTCTCCTCAAACTATTACATATCCAATAATGGGAAACAGTCTTATTTTTCACAAAGAAATCAACATCTTATAGCTGATACCCAAATACAGTGGGAAATACATAACTTTCTGGCATATTAAGATTTTATCACATTTAGACACACATTTAAATATGGAGGCCTCTATTTTAGCAGTTACACATGGTTATGGCATTTTTAGTTGATACTGCAAAATGTGAAATGCGCAACATTGTTTAGCAAACTTCCAAAAGTATGTAGTATCCAAACCTACATGGCAGGATTTGCTATGGTAAATAACGTTTTGCTGTTTTTGACACTGTTGGTCATGTGCTCCTTCTCCTAACCCTTCACACCTTGGCCTTCATGATGCTGTTCTGTTTTGGTTCTTGTCCCATCTCTATCAACAACCCAGGGTCTCCTCTTCTGGTAACACCTCCTCCTTTCATTACCATTTGTTGGTTGGATCCCCCCAATGCTCGGACCTCTTTTCCATTTTCTCTCTACATTGACTGTCTTGGCAAACTTATTATTATTTTGGCCTATACTACCGCACGTATGCCAATGACAACCAGACTTATCTCCCAACCCTGATCTCTCTCCTACTGTCCTAGAACAAGTCTCCAGTTGCTTCTCTTCCATCTCCGATTTGAATATCCATCCACTTTATAAATCTGTGTGTTTAAAACTGAGCTTCTTTGCTCCCCTCCATATAAAAATAATCCTCATCTGTCTCTCTCCTTGCAAGATGATGGTATGTGTATTTCACATTTCTTGCAAGCTTGCTGCCGTTGTGTTGTATTCTGGCCTTTCCATTACACCTCATATCTAGTATGTCACCAAATGCTGCCAATCCCACCTTTAAACCATTACCTACATCTACCCCTTTCTTTTACAAGATGCTACTAAGGACCTGGTTCATACTCTTGTAATTTCTCTCATTAAATACTGTAATTCTATCACCACTAGTCTCTCTAGACACCTTACTGCCTCCCTACAGTCCATGATGAATACTGCTGCCCAGCATATTATTTATCTTCCATTGCTCCTCTCATACGTCACCCTTCTGTCAATCATTACATATGCTTCCTGTGCCCTGTAGCATTCAATTCAAAATATTAACTTTTGCCTACAAATTTCTTCGCATCTCTTGCCCCTGCTTCATTTCATCACAAATTCATAAGTATGTCTCTTCTCAGCCCCTCCACTTTGCTGGTGACATTCTCCTGCCCACTGCTCATACCTGCTAACTTGTGCTTACAGACATACTGCTCTATTCTTATGGAACAGCCTGTCTCCCCCATCATATAGAAAAAGATAATATACACAGTGGGTTGATATGTGTGGTGGCGCAACCGCTACAAGCCACCTGAGTGGGAGCCCCTTATACCACTCTAAAGAATTAACATAAAATAGGTGGATCACATGTCTGATGTCTCTAAAAAAGACAAAATAATATAGTACAATATTGCCAGTACAAACAATGAATAGATGTGTAAGGTATCCAGTATCATACATATGGTCCCTTTACATTTAGGAGCAGTATTTATGTATTGGTACATCAAGTAATATATTATGGAATTTCACATTACGAAATGACTGCATTTCTTCGTTTAAAATATTTTTTAAATAAATAATAATAACTTAATCAGAGGGAGAATAAACTATTACCTACAGTTTTCTTATCTTTCTCTGATATCTTTCTCTGATATACATGGTTTGCTATTGCCAAATTGCAGGGCAAAATAGGTGTGCAGGAACAAGTCTCCAAATGAAAAAAATACAAAAAGCTTGATACATTGGGGCTTCTAGTATGTATTAGACATATTTTTTTTCAATTCTGTTTAGAAATATCTTTCCTTTTTACACGTGCACTCGAGGTCATTAATTATACACATTTCAAATATCTTTTCTTTCTTTACAGAGTTAAAGCTGCCCAAACTGAATTAGGTCAACAGATTCTGGCTGACTTTGAAGAGGCATTTCCTTCACAGGGCACAAAGGTAAACAGTTTGCTTTTTTGACAGTATTATATGGAAGGAAATTCCTAGTGGCCAGTGGAAATTTTGAGCCTTTTTATGGAAAAGGTTAATATAAGAAAATTAAGATGTTATAATAATTGCTTATATTAGTATTACAAACCCTTAATGCCTGTTATTCTTTTACTTCTGTGAAACAGGTTAATGAGCATAACATCAAACTAGTGATATTGCTTATGGATACAGTTTGAGTTTTGTTTTTATTACATAATGTTACAGCCTCACTGTTGATGTTTCTTCCAGAGGGCTGGTGGACCAAGTAACGTACTGCGAGATGCCTGCTTGGTAGCCAATGTTCTGGATTCTAGGATTAAACAGGAAATCATCAAGAAATTTATCCGACAGCATCTCTCTGAATATCTTGTACTCTTCCAGGAAAACCAAGATGTAAGT